TAATGATAGATCTATTATTTAATTAATAAACAATTAAATAAATAATAGAGTCCATAGATTCAAATCTTCGTAATTTGTTAATCACAAGGAGTTGTGATTGTAAGATACAAATTACATCTGATTGAATCTTAAATCACCCATGGTCGTAAGTAATAACGAGATATGGATATCGTTATTACAGATAGACCATTACGTGTGACATTTCTTAGTTATGAAGTAAGTATATGATCTCACAAGCTAAAGTGTGGTGACACTCAAATGAACACGTGGATGTTTTGTTATAGAACAAAACATTGGAGACCCGCTGAGAGATTCCACATGAAGAACTATCTGAGTGTCAGTGGTTAATCTCTAACGTTCGGTAGTGGAGTTGGTCATTTGATTTGAGGTCGTCATGGTACCTCATATGAGGACAGTCATACTTTGGCGTTGTTGGATGTTGCTCTGCAAAGGGCCGCTAATATGACATTGTTCGGGTACGTTAAGAATCATATGAAGATTGTGATTGACCAATAAAGGATTCGTCACTCTTAGATAATAGGAGATTGTGATCTACGTTTCATTCAATTAAGTCGATGATGAAATCCTCGGGAGTGGGTACTTATTCTTAATGGTTAATCAATTTATCTCCCTATAATCGATGCACATCCTCATGCTTCCATCTTTCTTCTTTACAAACAACACCGTCGCACCCCATGGAGATACGCTTGGTCGTATGAAGCCCATATCTAGGAGTCGTTGCAATTGCTTCTTTCATTCTTGTAGTTCCTTTGGGGCCATTCGGTATGGGGCCTTAGATACTGGTGCCGCCCTGGGAATTAGGTCCATGGTGAATTCCACTTGTCTATCGGGTGGAATACCAGATAGATCTTCTGGAAACACATCTACGAATTCCCCGTACTACTTGTACATCTTCAACCCTTATCGTCTCTTGTTTCCCTCCTGAGATACTTACTAGATATCATTGACATGTTTCTTTTCTCAACATCTTCTCAGCTTGTAAAGCCGATACTAGTCGAATAAGGGGTTTCATCTTCATTCCAAGGAACGAAAATGGTTCCTCTTCTGGTTTCTGAAATGATACTTCCATTTCCTTACATCGGATGGTGGCATAATTACAACCTAACCAATCCATGCCTAGTATTACATCAAAATCCTTCATTTCTATCATGTATAGGTTCGCTTCCATTTGTTTTCCCTCAACTTTGATACTTACTGACTTGGCTATTCTATCAGTATTCAAAGGGTTGCCCGAAGGAATACTAACTTCTAATGTACTTTCTTATCCTCCGTATCCACCAGATGTGGAACATACCTTGAAAGGTGATAAAATTTCCTCTCATACTCAGTCAGGGACATAGTCTTTTGCTTGAGCTAGAGGAATTCACTTTCTTTGTGATCCCTCAAGGACTGGGGAAAGTACTTGTCAATTGCTTCCCCTTTGAATTGCTCCCAAGTCAATTCTGCTTGTTGCTCAGGGGTCCTTGTCCTTGATATTGAGTCCCACCAGTGACTTGCATCACCGGAGAATATGAACTCAGCACACTGGACTTTCTGGGCGTCCGTGCACCCTATCGATTGGAATATACGCTCCAACTTGCGAAACCACTCCTCGGCTGCAAGTGGATCAGCTACTCCATTGAAGGTAGGGGGTTTGTGCCTTCGAAATTACTCGACCACTGAAGCATGGTTTGGAACATTAGGAGCTAGTGGTAGGGGTTGAGCTTGGTTCAGGTTTTGCCTGCCTAGGTCTTGAACCGCTCGGAGGAGGTTTCTTATCAAGTTTTGGTTTGCGCGGGCCATTTCCTTTAGACAAAACATATGGTTCTTATTAGTTTCATTCTTCGAATACTAAAGCAAAGAAGATAGTATTTTATTTCTTGACATAAGCGAAGCTATTACAAAGATTTAAATCTAATCCCTATAAGTTCTACGAATCTTCTTTGGTGGAGCTTCATCTTCAGAGGAGTCTTCCGCCTCAGGTCCGGACTCTATGTCCATCTCAACCTGTGGCTCAGGCTCAGGATCATTCTCTAAATCATCCTCGGGTTCTTCTTCCTCAGCTAAAGGTTCCTCTTCAGACTCCTCATGGATTACATCATCCCACAAATCAATCAAGGCATGGCAATACCTCTCAAATTCGAACAGGTTTGGGTTGCCTCCTAACATTTCATCCCTAACCGTGACTCCCATATCTCCCCATTGAGGTGGGCGGGAGTGTATGAGGTTATTTATGGCCTCAATATGTGTGATCTCCATACCAGCATTAACCGCCGTCATGCATCTCTCATAGATGTTATACACATGTTCGCTAAGCGGTCGGGTTGGATCAGTTACATAGTTTTCATAGGAATGGATAGTAATTCTACGGTTCAATGCTTCTCTATATGCCCTAACCGTTCTACGAGCCATATCTGTTGCATTTTCACATACATCATACTTTTTCTTTGCTTAAAGAAAACATGCAAATATTTAAACTTTCATATCATGCAATTCCCTTTAAGCCCTTAGCTTTTGCCCAAGTCCATTACATATCTTTAAATAACACATCTCTAAATCATATCAAAGTATCATAACATAAACATAATCATTAACTTTAAACATGAACATACTTGGGCCATAGGATGAGGTTGATGGATAGATACATGATGCCATGGAATACCTTAAACTTTTCATTTTCCTTTTGTTTTTAAAAAAAAAAAAAGCATACTTGGTCTACAGAACCGGCTAAACCTTGCTCTGATACCACGCTGTAACGTCCCGATCCCGAGTGGACCGGAACGCTACTTACTTTACTTAGCTTAACAAGTGGTTTAGCAACAATTGTATACGTTTTAGCGGAAGCTTACATCTTCGAATAATAATTTAAATAACAATATTTCAAATACTTTAACCAAAAACACTTAATCATTTTTCAAAACAACAAAATGTAATTTATTTGAAGAAAACATAACTTGTTCTCGCGTTCTGCGTTATTTAAAACTTTAAAGAAATAACATTGGAAAACATTTCATAAAAAGAAATCCAAATCACTTATTCACCGGATTTCTATGGGCTCGTTGCATCACTCTCCATCTTCTCCTCCATCCATGCCCGAGGTAGAATTCCTTCAATCTGTAGAGATGGGATTAAACCCGTGAGTTGAAAAACTCAATAGATGTCATAGGTACATTCGTGATGAAGCTATATATTTCAAAACATTAACTTTATAACTTTTCATACATGCCGTACCCGGAGGCACCATTTGACATGAAGGGGTATGCCGTACTCGGGGGCACCATTTGACATACGAATATTTCTTCAACATAGAGGAGTATGCCGTACCGGAGTACCATTTGACATACAACCATTAACATAGAGGGATTTGCCGTACCGGAGTACCATTTGACATACAAACATTAATATGAATCGAAACTCATAACTTAACATGATTAAACACATTGCACCTCTACCTACCTTGATTAGTGCTTTTGAAACTTTGAAAACTTGGATTGAAAACTTCGATGAAACTTGGACGTTGAAAGAAATGCACTCTTTGGATGTTTGAAAATCGTTGAAAATTGATGTTTGAAGATACTTCTTAAACTTCTAGGAAAAATAGTTTTCCTCCCTCTCTTTTTCTCTCTTGGAAACTCTTTCTTTAGTATGTAAAAGCTCTTACTTTTGGTGTGAGAAAAATGAGTGAAATGAGGTCTCTATTTATAGGTAAATATCCCATAACTTAAAGCAAATGAAGGGTCAAATTTCATTTAAGAGAGAAAACATGGGTGCCATTTAAGTTTGAGGTTAAATGCTTCAATTTAGTGGGGTTTTATTGCCAAAAACGTGGGTGGCCCTTTGAGAAAATAATTGATGAAAATAAATATTTAAATTCTATAGAAAAACGAGAATTTTCATTTCAGGCAGTTTCGATCGACCGGTTGTAGTCCGATTGACACTGCACAGCTTTCAGTTTTTCTATCATAACTTCTTCTCCTGATATCCGATTGAGGTAATTCAAAGTGTGCTGGAAAGCTAATTCAAAGAGCTACAATTTTTATTTAGATACATTTTCAAATTGAATGTTTCCTATGTCGAAAATGGGTCTCAAATGAGACTTAAAATCTGAAATATACTTTAGTCATCCAATATTCATATTTTAGTGCCACTAAGGTGTCTAGAATTATTTGGGGTTTTATATGGCCAAGGTGTACTCATAAGTCGAAAAGGAGCTTTCGACTTATATTGACTTAATAGTGGAGTGAAAGATATGATCGATGATCGATATTGACACACTTTCATATCTCGTAATTGATCGGATCATAGTGACGAAGGGATTATAGTTTTACAGTAAACGAACGAGTTTGATTTTGTCACACTACATGACATTTCCCATCACATGTATTGCCCTGACACATTGCTAGATGTCAATCTGGGACGATGAGTGTAAATTGACGATAAATTAAAAGGGTGTTTTAATTTATCAAGTTTGATTAGATCAAAATAATATTTCACGTCGTTAGACATCGTGATCGGGAACCTGATGGGTCGCACACAAAAGAAAATTGGAAGATTGCAATTTGTCAATTAATTAATTTAATAATCATTGGATAAATTAATTAATTGGTTAGTTATTTATAGGCCGAAATTAATTAATTAATTCACGGACCAGATTTAATTAAATGAATTAATTAAATATTGGACCGGACTGGACCGGACGAGGCCCGTTTGGGCTTATATAAATACATGGCTATGGTTTTCAATCCACATGGTTTTTCGAAATCATTCTTGCTAGCATAAGAGGAGAAAACCCTGGTAGCTACAATCTTATTCTCTGTGTGGATCACCGTTGGAGGCTGGACAATTGGAGAGCTGTGAGTGGCGAATTAAGATTGCTGGAACGAAAAAAAAGCAAAAAGTTTGCAGAATTCTTCAAAGGTACAATCTTTATCACGATTTCTATCTAAACACAAAGGGATCCTCAGTGGGAATCGAAATAATTTTAGTTTTCCGCTGTGTATGTATAAGTAGATTCCCAACAAGGGGAAGAAATGAGAAAAAAATCGGGAGCTTTGTATATCGTTGTATAAAGCTGCTTTAAAAAGAGATTGGAAAGATGCTGAAACTGCTCTCAGATTGGACAAAAGTGCAGGTTAAGATAACAGAAATGGGAGAAAGGCCTCTTCACATAGCTGCTCTCGCCAAGCGAAGTGCGTTTGTCCGCGAGTTAGTCATCACTTGAACAAAGAAGACCTGAAATTGACGAATGATCGTGGAGATACAGCTTTCTGTTTTGCAGTTTCGAGGCCAAGGACCGCAAGGACATTCTTGTTGCAACTATCGACAGTGGCATGTATGGTATGGAATCTCTGTTCATGACTCGGAGCAAGATGACAATGAAAATTATGTTTGCAATGGTTTAAAAATTGCTTTTCTTACATGCAGATATCGCATTAAAAATATTGGAAGCTGATAGAAGTATAGGCATTTCTCCAAACGCCGTGAAAGGAAGTGCTCTACACGCATTAGCCCGAAAAACTTTGCCACACTATGGTAAAAGTCACGAATGGATATGCGAAAAACTCGAGAGAATCATCCCTTATGTTCCCTGTAAGACCATTCTATTTCATTATCAACTTTCAGCTGACGATAAATGAAATATCGAGCATAATTTACCTGAAAATTTCTAGTTGATAATAGACATATATGTATCTACACCTTTCAAGTTGTTGCAGTTTGGATTCACATTCGCGTATATTACCCTGCCCACTTTGAAATATAGTTGTTTTTAGGAAGCGAACTTTTTTATGCATAGTGTTTAGATTGAAAACTTTCAAGCTTTACTTTTCACATTTATACCCTTTCTAGTGCTTCTTTTTAATTTTATTTCCTTCTGATAATTGAGGTCATCATACAATCACAAAATTATCGGAATATAAGTAATGTTAGTTTAAAGCATTTTTATAAAACCCGGACTAGACAGTCCGGCTCCGTCTGGAAACCGTCGAACCTTGTGTCACATAATTTTATTGCTGGAAAACCCATTGAACCACCCGTTTTTTCAGTAACCCGTTAGCCCATATATTGTTGAACCGACAGGCCTTAGTCATTGTATATATGCTACTTACAACACTGATTTCTGGTCCGACTTTTCAATCTTCACAATTCAAGATCGTTGCAAAATCAAAAACCCTTTGCCATCTCCCAATCTCTCTGCAGTTTAACCACTGCCAAAAATTCAAATCTTCAATTTCAAGGTTTAATAGATGGAAGAAGAACATGTCAGTCTGAATTTTTTTCTTTTTGCTACCGTTTTCGCCATTTTCAAACCTGTTATGAAATTTATTTTTGGTTTCCATAATATAGTAATTGATCTTATGAATCATTAGTGGTTTCCATTTGCGATTTCTACATTTTGGACCTGTACTTATGAATCAGTTGATTTGTGGTACCGTTGTCGCCACTTCGGGCTTGTAATTATGAATCATTTGTGGTGTCCATAATATAGTAATTGACTAGGGAGAAAGTACTTTTCTTATTTTGAAATATGTTGTGCTACTGGAAGTATTTATTTGGTTCGGACCATTATTTCATTTATTATATTTATTTGACAGCATTAATTTCTTTAAGTTTAGTAGTTATGCTTTTGAATCAGTTGCACTCTCTACAGTATATTAATGTATGTGTACCATCGAACATTAACAATTTTTTTGTGCGGGAAAATTGTGGAAGATGTTCACCATTTGTTGTTTTTATACATTATTTATTTATTTCGGTTGTTGTGATGGATAACTTATGAAAAATCTGAAACTAGCTTATATACTAGCGACCTAATTTATAATATATTTGTATAATATATTTGACAGGCATTGACCCATCAGGTCATCTGTTGAACCACTGACCTCGTTGAACAGCTGCATTTTCTGAGTCAGTGTCTGGACCGAGTCTAACAACGCTGGTTTAAAGTCTAGACTGTGTGTGTATACAAACACACAAATTTGGTATTTTCATTCATAGCATAAATTTGTAATTTTGTATATATACACGATTTCTAAAAATGAGAAAGAAATATTCTAGTACGTACATTAAAAGCAAATCCCTGACTATGCTCCTAATTAATTTAATTACAATGAGTGAGTAATACATGCTGGAAAGATCATATCACAGTGCTAAGATCATGGTGATTTGTTTGCTGAATTTATGGAAGATATTTCTTCCTTTATAATAGATTTATTCACTTTTTGCTCAGTAGTTGTTTTTTCATTTTTTTATTTTTTTATTTTTGGCTCTGTAGATAACTTGAATTTTAGAAATAATTTAGCAATGAATTTTAGGTTTCAAAAAGATATGTGGTTCAATTCAAATGCGGGAACAAGCCAGTTAGTTGGTAAAGGAGCTCTGCACACAGTTAAAGGACTCGGAAATTTCAGTCATATGTAGCCAACCAGAAACTCCTATACTTACTGATATCCCGATCTTATATGGAAAGCTGACACAAATGGTCACACCATATTTCATGTTGCAGTTATTAACCGACAAGAGAAAGTCTTTAATCTCATCTATGACACAGGAGCTATTAAAGATTTATTAATGTCCTTAGAAGATAAATCCGGAAACAACATTTTGCATTTGGCTGCAGAATTACCACCTTCAAGCAGACTCAATATTGTCTCTGGAGCAGCTCTTCAAATGCAGAGAGAGCTCCTGTGGTTTAAGGTGAGAAAGTAACACGACTAACAAATCCCCTTTCCTTTTCCCCTCAAAGTGGTGAGGAATACTTTATAGCATGACGGTGAATTGTGTCATTTCTTATATATATATCCATGTTAATACATTAATTTGAGTAAGCTTTACAGGAGGTAGAGAAGATTCTACTGCCTTCTGACGTTCAGAAGAAAAATATTAACAAAAAAACACCTAGGGAGTTGTTTACAGATGAGCACAAGGAGTTACAGGTTGCTGGTGAGAAGTGGATGAAAGACACAGCAACTTCTTGCATGGTTGTGGCAACCTTACTGTTGTGTTTGCTGCAGCCTATGCCTTACCTGGTGGGGTTTAGGAAGGAACGGGGTCTCCAACTTTCTTGGACGAAAACTAGTTCATAGTTTTTGTCACATCTGATGCAGGGGCAATGTTTAGCTTGACGGTTTCCATGATGATGTTCTTTTCTATCTTAACTTCACGCTATGGAGAAGATGATTTTCTATTTACATTACCAGCAAAGTTGAAGGGTGGACTAGTTACACTCTTTGCTTCAGTCGTTTGTATGGTCTTAACATTTAGTGCAACCTTCTTTTTGGTCTGCAGGAAAGAAAAGGATGGGACATTGCCTGGTCTTACTTTGTTTCCAATCACTTTACATGCTATGCTAAATTTTAGGTTATGGATTTCCCTAATCCACTCAACAATTTGGGCGTCAAGGTTGATGTTTCGACCGCGTAAGCACCGGCTTTTCTAATACTAAGAAAAGTGGAGAAGTATTGTTGTTGTTGTATTTTCTAATAAAAGGCTTTGTTTTAAGCTTTTGTTTCTTCTAGCTATTACTTTGTTGTTGTTGTTGTATTTTCTAATAAAAGGCTTTGTTTTTCGAGTGCTAGAAAAGTGGAGAAGCTTGCTATTTCTTATTAATTTGTCTTTGTTATTCTTCAATATATATTTTTATATAAATATCACAATTACCATTGGGACACAAATTAAATCACTTCTCCACGAGAAACATCAGAGTTTGCATGCCTCAATAAAGATTTATTTCTCTTTTCCACAAATTAGACCACTTGGTTTGTACCAGAAGCATTAGTAATCAAACATTAGATTATAGCCTCTTGGATGATGATATATTCAAGAACCTAATTTAACTAAAAATGTCAAGTTGGATAGTCCACAAATGTTTCTTAGGAGTCACATGCATGCCTTCATTCTTCGTTCACTTCAGAAAAAAATATGGTTGCTTTTTCGGAATTGAGTTTTTTATGCATTATGTGCCGATCATGTCTTCAAATATTTAGTCAAGAATATCATACAATTAGAAAATAGTCAATATTCTACTTAGTAGACTCTAATTTTGGGATATATCTGCATTAATATTTTGGATAGGGTGTTTGACATAACTTACAATTGAATCAATGATAATAACATTTTTGAATTGAATTGATCAATGGAGAATGTACTTGTGCTTTGTGAAAGTGTAACTTTAGTCTTTCATTTGTATCACGAAAACCCCTCGATAAATCTTGATTCCGAGTTCACAAAATAATCAAACGAACACCGATTTACCTCGGTTCAACCCAAGACTTTCGCCTTCACTTTGTACTGCCCTCTTTCTCTTTAATCCCACAAAGGAGAAGGGTGGTGGTGTTAGCAATCCACAAAGGTATGGACAGGAAAAAGCACTCACAACCTCACATGGCTTCCCTCTCTCTTAGCTGCCTCTATTCTTTCAACTCTCATCTCCATTGCTACAACACACACACACACCACACGGTGGGGGGAGAGATACATATATATAGGTTAGTTTAGGTCACCAAATATGGGCCAAGAAATCTCTAAGTAGGCTGTCATATAACCTAAACTAATGGTCCAATTTCCAACTCCATATTAATCACTAAATGGTCCAACTAACCAAATAATCACCAAACCCAAACCCGAGCCATCCAAAAGTGTAGTTCGTCTCCGAGTCAAGCCAAGTCCATGGTGTCGATAAATAATTCAACAACTGTTTTAAATCATAGCCCGTATTATTGGGTATCAAAAAACCCAACAATCTCCACCTTGATGCCCAATAATCTGCTAGCAACCAAAACATAAAGTTTATACTTGCACAATCAAGGTAACCTAATAAAATTGGAATCACGGACCTTACCTTGTGTTTTCAACCTGAAACACATACGATACTTGCTCCATGTACTCACCAGGGCTAAGGTCAAGAACACCCAAGTAGAAACAAGTATTGACAGTGAACAAACAATCATGCGATGAAGATATATAAGATAACACACACACAAATCTTTTCAAAATCAAGTTCACACAGAATCACAGATTAACACTTTGTTAATCAACACACAGTCAAGCACATATGCAATAAATGCATAAATGACCCCATGAAAGATCTCACCACACTTATTATATCACATTCCGTGTTACTCTCACATCAAGAACACATATCTCCTCTCGTCTCCTACCATGCTCACTAAACCAATCACTCAATTTATGTCTAACTGGCAAGTCACAATAGATTCTAAGCTCTCAGGATAATCCTCTATCACCACATCATTTCTCCCAACCTATATGGATAATGGGACTCCACCTTACAGAAGTGATAAAAGTGCCTCTCTTGCACTCTACCTGTGCAGGATCTCTTTCACAGATAAAGGATTTTAGCATTTGATCACTTCTCCTCTCGTGATCCAAATGTCGCACTCCACATTCCTCGTGCATATCACCAATGCAACTCTAGGCATCTATATATCATCTTACCAAAAGACAATCCACACCTTTCGGTGACCACAAAGTTTACTCCAATCACCAAAGCTCCAAAAATCCACAAAGAACACGACGAAGGTGGCATTCACAAAGAAAAATCGAAGAAAGAGTCGGTTACTTCACTACACTCACAAAAAAGGCTCACAAAGAGAAAGAAGGTAACCTTAACATGATCGCCTCACATAATCTCACAAATCACACAGGCTTGCGAAGGTAAAGGAGAAAATGGCTGCCAATCTTTCTTCTTGCTCCCCCACTCTCACACCACTCACAGAACAAACAAAGTACGCCACAAATCCCAACCCGCTATGTATGCAAACACATCACAGTAATAAATCACTCTAATTTATGCAATTACACACATCAAACATATTGAAAGTGTAACATACAAACGCAACAGAATTAAGCAATTACATGCATGCAGAAGGGATATCACACAGATGCAATGCAGTAACCAGGTTTATTCTCTCAATAAACCTCACCAGGATCACTACTCGACCCTAAGTCATATTTCCATAGTCTGTATCCTCGTCTTTCCTTTTATTACCATCCTAGGATAATCTCTTTCAACTATACCCAAATTTTACCACAATTAAAATATATTTTACTTTTCGCACTTGCCTTAGACCTATACATGCCAGCATTACCAAATAATGACCAAAATTAAAGTATTAACACATAATTCACACAGAATAGTCAAGTAAACTTTTCTAAGGTCACATGCAATTCTATCGATGTAGAAAAATTGGTGACAAATTCATATAAAATTTAAGGCAATTAATTAACATATAATTTCTTAGTCTAGCAACAGACAATGGTTACCCTTTCACGGTAACTCCAAACCTAACATCATTTCACACGATGATTTCTAATGCAAAAAATAAATAATTACCCTATACAATAGTTCTAACTGCAATAATAAAATGTAAAGAATACGATACCGAGCAGATCACGTCTAAAGGTCCGTAGATATCGAGGCATGCGAATTCACCACTTTAGGAATATCACTCTCCATCCCAAAGCTTCTAGCAATCGTAGTAATATAAACCGATAATGGCACCCAAACGTCCAAGGGTAAAATTGTCCAACTTTCACTGTATTGCTCGAAACTGAAATTCGATAACACCAGAGGGCCCGACTCATCACTGGCAACATTCTATCTGAAGAAGTCATCTGCTGAAAAGGTCGGACGTGCCCTCACTCGCGCTGTCGGCGTCGATGTCGGCTCCAACCACGCACCACCCTTCCAGGTTCATCTCCGCTTGCACAGTCCACCGGTGGTGTCCGTCTCTCCAAACTCTTTTTGATTTATCCGAAAAACACCAAAATAGATCTATCTATGTTTGCAAAAATCTACTCAAATTTCGTCCAATTTTCTGCCTGTTTCCCAGATCGATTTTTGGCCACTTCCAACTAGTTTTTCACCCAAAAAATTAGAGATTTATTAACAACACAAGCTCTGATACCATTTGTCACAAAAATCCCTCAATAAATCTTGATTTCGGGTTCAGAAAATAATCAAACGTACATCAAATTACCTCAGCTCAACCCAAGACTATCGCTTTCATTTTGGACTGCCCTATTTCTCTCTAACCCCACAAAGGAGAAGGGTGATGGTGTTAGCAATTTAAAAAGGTATGGAGAGGAAGAAGAAGATATCACAATGGTTGAATCTCACTCACAACCTCATATGGCTTCTCCCTCTCTCGGTTATCTCTCTTCTCTTAACTCTCATCTCCATTGCTACAATATACACACACCACACGGTTGGGAGATAGATACATATATATAGGTTAGTTTAGCTCACCAAATATGGGCCAAGAGATCTCTAAGTGGGCTACCATATAACCTAAACTAATGGTCCAATTTCCATCTCCATATTAATCACTAAATGGTCCAACAAACCAAATAATCATCCAACCCAAACCCGAGCCATCCAAAAGTGTAGTTCGTCTCTGAGCTGAGCCAAGTCCATGGCGTCGATAAATAATTCGACAACTATTTTAAATTATCGCCCGGATTATTGTGTATAGAAAAACCCAACAATTTGGTTTTTCCTTTGTATCTATACTTGTATAAGGGTTCTTATTATCCCCACCTAATATTAATGGCTCATGTTGACCTTGAAAAATGCACCTCCAATGGGGCCAACATATCCCAAGACCTCTTACATCCACGCGAACCAAGTTGATGCACACTTAAACAAATCGTTGCCACACGTGGCCTTCTCCAATGGGGTGGAGTTAGTTACGTGCACTCCAACTTTCATGTCAATTAAAGGTAGTTATATGAGTGTGTGAGGGCTTTGGGCATGAGCCTCCAATGTAAAAGAGGATTGGTTTTTGTGCATAACAAATAGTGATATGAGAAAGTTACTGTAAGAGTCTAAACTTGCATCACCTCCTCTGTGACACCAATGTAAGCTTTTATAATAGAGAAATTTGAGCATAAATCATGGGATGAAAAGACACGTAACCTCATCCTAGTAGCCGAGGTCTCTTATCATAGTTATCAATCCATTTAATTTTATGACTATCCGTAGCCCTATGCCTAACATGTTAGACTAGTCTTGACTCGTTGATTGAGTAGAGTCGCCTATTCAATGAGTAGTCACATCACCTATTTGCTTCAAGATCTTGTATGAAAATCCTCTATGTAGCGCTTCTATCTGACTCTCCTTATCCATAAGGATTTAGTTGAAAGGCTCGACTTACGGGGTTCGGCCATGCCATAAGTGCAAATGACATGGAGTGTTAGCCTGTGTCCTTATTGCTGAGCAGCTACCACCTGACACTGTTTAGAGCCTCGTTAGAATAGGTGTAATTATAGTTCCCAAGTCCATATATGAATATTAATATAATGTGTGGACTTAAAATGTACAATATCAGTAAACTATCAACACAGTTCCCCAACCTGATTTTAATACGAAGCTTTTATATTTAGGTGAAACCTTCATAAAAGGTGGAAATTGTGGTAAGGTGGAATCGGATTTGAGAAAAAACTCTAGCACAAGGAAGAGCCCATTAGTGAGAGATAGCTTGTTGGTGACGCCAAATC